CTCAGAAAGTTCTTCCTGGTTGGATTTATTAGGCTAGGAGAACACAGGACTCAATGCTTACACGGCACTCATGCTCTTAGCATCCAAGGAGGAGAAGAGAACTCTCACAGTGCTTAGGAAAGGTAGCCTATTGTTTTCTCTTATGCTTAAATTGTTTGGTAAAACACTACTAGACATTTACATTGGTCATCAAAATGGCAAACATGACAAGAAAGATGATTAAAAATTGTATCTGTTTTGGGGGCGCCCGAGTGGCTCATTCGGTTAAGTGTCTGACGTTGGCTCAGGTCACAACCTCACAGTTTGTGAGATGGAGCCCCACATCAGGCTCTGTGCTGACAGCGCGGAGCCTGGAGCCCACTTCAGATTCTGTGTCTCCCTCTCTCTGTGCCCCTCCCCTGCTCTCACTCTGTCTCTTTCTCTCTCTCAAAAATAAACAAACATTTTTTAAAAATTGTATCTGTTTTGGAAAAAATTATGAATAAAACTAATGGTTTCTTCTTCTAGGTTCATATTGTGATAGAAAATGTAAATACTTCAGGAGAGACTCTGAATAGTTGGGGGATCTGATGTACTGGTATCATTTTGTTGCAAAAGTTTTATAGATTCCTGTCTGTGGGCTTTTCTTAAATCCTGACGCATCAGTTACCTCCAAGTTGGGGTCTATTCTTATTTTTACAAAGCACTGAATTGGTAGCCTTTGCTTTATTTCACATACTTAATTGCATAGCTGTATTTTTCTACTGGCCTAGCTTACCTATGGACCATAAAGGAAGGCTTTGGGTGGAAAAGGGGTCAGTGGACGCATGAGGGAGGGCCTTCTCTCCTGCACCTTTTTCATGCGAAATTGTCTGCACTGACACCCTGCTTGTGATTATTCAGCCACTGGAAACGCGTTACTAGAAGAAATGCCGCGGCTTCGAAGCTCACTCCTTTTGTGTCTCACACGGCTTTTTTTCCATTTCTCTACTAATGCATGAATACCTCCAGAATTTGAGATTCTGAGAACATGTCACCTGAGTAAACACATTTCTTGTGCTGAAAGTACTAATCGGAGATTTCACTCAAGGAAGGACAAGGATGGGTACTGCTGTTCTGTAGAAAACCATCACTTGATGGTCTATTTCATACCGACTCCCCTCTTAGTTCTTTCCATGAGTATCCTCAGAGAGAACCTATGTTTTCTTCCGAAAAGTAGAGAAAGGTTTGCTGGAGCAGTTTCAAGAGCCTGTCCGGAGCTGTGATGGTTGAACCAAGCAGGGGTGGGGAAGAGTAAGGTCATTTGGTGGAATCAAAAGCCCAGAGTGGGAAGTGGCCATGGCATGTAGTGAGGACACGGGTCCTTCCTGTCAGACATACTGAGGTGAGGAAGGAGGGCATGCATGTTTTCAAAAGTCATAGGAGACAAAGGACAGGAGGACCCAATTGTCACGGCCCTTTAATGCCACACCAGGTTTACATCTTCTGCTCTAGAAAACGAGAGAGCAGTGGAAGTTCCTGAACTCCAGACTGTGGTGACAAGATCAGTGTCTGTAGAAGCTTAGGAAGGCCTTAAGAAACCTGGTTAAGTAGTTTACAGCAGTAAAACGGGCAGGTGCTTGTAAACACTTGGTCAGCCATGATTCCATCTCTGCTGTTTCTTTTGTAGATATGTTAAATATAGTTTTCTTTTTTTTTTTTTTTATTATTTTTTTTAAATTTTTTTTTTCAACGTTTTATTTATTTTTGGGACAGAGAGAGACAGAGCATGAACGGGGGAGGGGCAGAGAGAGAGGGAGACACAGAATCGGAAACAGGCTCCAGGCTCTGAGCCATCAGCCCAGAGCCCGACGCGGGGCTCGAACTCACGGACCGCGAGATCGTGACCTGGCTGAAGTCGGACGCTTAACCGACTGTTCCACCCAGGCGCCCCTTAAATATAGTTTTCTAACTGTGAGAAGAGTCCCCATGGCTTTGTCATTCACATACTAACCCAACACCTTGCTTACCCTTATGCATTTCCTTGCAGCATAACCTCCTCACGTAAAGCTTGCATAATTTTATTAAATAGCAGAAGTGGTATGGACCTTTTTTCCTTTCCTTTCCTAGTCCAAAACTTTTTAAAGATAAATGCCCAGAAGCAGGGGGAGTATTAATTTTAAAAAGTCAGCATTTTGCAAACATTCTTGGAAGAAGTCTACCTTGATTTTGAGAAAACATTTCAATGAGCATATTTGCCCAAAGGAAACAGCAACATTCTGTTCTGAAATTAAGTTTGTAAACACTGGAAGTTTTTATTTCAATTTTTAATACGGTGTCAAGAAACATTGCAAACCAGGGCAAAACGTTACTTAGTGCAGAACTGCATCCCTGTGAGGTTGATAATGTCACCTGTGTTGAAGGTTAATCTTTTATTTTTCCTTCAGCTGAGCCCCAGAGGAGAGGTTGGTGTTTGAGTCCAAGTTATGAGGATATTCCCCAGAGTACTCCTGCATGGACGAAGAAAGATGTCAGGTTGGGGGCATCCAAAGAAAGAGAGCACCTATCCAAGTCACCCAGGGAGGAAGAGACATGACCTCAGGACTCCACGAACATTAATGCCACATCCGAGTGCGTTCTTTTCCATATTAAGTTTCCTTTTGCTCCCTCTAAGTCTGGATAAAAATCTAGAGCCTGGACTTAGCTGTGCTTTGGGAAACTAAGGGAAGGGTCTTGGTCTCCACCAGTCTTAGGGAGCACAGAGAGGACAATAGCCACCCAGGGAAGGCAGGTGAAGGACGGCAAGGAGTCACTGTCAGAATCTCTTGGGGCTGCAGCTGGCTGGGTCATGAGTGACTACCAACAGAGATCACTGGAACACATAATCAAGCCTTCCTCAGAATCCCCCAAACATGCTGGGGGAGGGAATCCGGTGAAAGAGTGGGCTTTGTAGAAACAATCACACAAAATGCAGAACGCTGAACCTCAAACCAGAGTGCCCCTACCTCCTCTCTTAAAATTGGTCATCTCCCTTCTACAGCAGATCCTAAAGAACCCCAACCTTTAATCCCTGGAATTTGGGGGTTCCACACTTCTTAAGATCTACCTGGCAGTTAGAAACATGTCCCATTTTCTATCAGTTTTTCAGAGGAAGTTCATTCGAATAGCCTGTCCTAACCTTTGTTCCCTGCCTTCAACCTCGTCTTGCAATCATAAGGACAGCAACTAAAAATAGCCTATTCTACCTGCCACTTCCATACTGCTAATTTTTTGTACATTTTGTTGTCAAACATTGTGAAGTTTTAAATAGGTTTTATTGATTGATTCTCGATTTTCCATCTGACTTTTGGTCTTTTAAGAACACCATTTAATTAGCTAAGCGTAATCACCCCATACGTAAATCATGATTCCCTTAAACTTGAGAAGCTAGCAAAAATATGTGATGCTTTTTAGCTTTTATCATAGTCCCCATCACATGTGCAGTTAGGAATGTCATCCCTCCTGTTCTCCACTGAAGTGCTTTTCAGCAGAAATCCTCCACATCTTTTTCAAAAGTCTCTAACCACAAGTTTACATGTGGGGGCCTTCATTTACCCAGTCTGCCCTTGTTCCCGAAGCTCTCAGCTCACTACTAATTAATGGTACGTTTTCACCGCAAATCCTGATCTGTCATAAAACACTCTGAGATTCGGTTACCAGCAAATCTCATGACCTAGAATCTTACATACCTGAAGTCGTGATTTTGAATTTTCCCCTGACATTTAGTTTTGTTCCACCAAAAGTAATTAATGTAAGCTTCTAAAAAGCAGAAATCAGGTCCTATCCTTCCCTTGTCTGCTCTTTCCTGCTCACGTAGGTCAAGCAGTTAGAAGAGGGACTCAGCAAAACTGTCGGCAGGGACTGATGCTCAGGAACTTCCCTGAGGCTCAGAACGCTAGACCTGTAGCAGCAACACTGCACCTGAGCAAGGTTTTGGCCAGTGCCATCCATAGAAGTTACCCTCCTATTTTAAGGTTGGTTCTGGCTAAGTCCTTCACTTGGTCAATATTTACCGAGCACCTACAATGAGCTGAGACCTCAAGCTGAGTAGGATATGAACCTGCCACTCCAGGAGGTCAGGATGTAATGGGGTAAAGGCACTTTTCATCAGTAATGACTACACAACGTGGTAGGTTCGTGACAGCAATCAGCATCCATCCCGTAAAGGTTTTGTTTCGTTAGAGTCACTGAGGAAGAAGCCACGTTCTGGGCAATTGAGGACATGCCGATGGTTGTTCTGGTCACTTTTTTTTACTGAAGGCCAGGCTCATGAAGCAGGGGGGAATGTAGATTCCGTGGTACCTGAGGCAGGACACAGGTTCCACCCGAACTCTGTGATGTCTGTTTCCTCATGTAGCAGATGGAGGTCTCAGAGTGTAGATGGGAAGATAAAATTAAGGCAAGGAATGCAAAGTGTTTTACACAGTGTCTTGTGCTATTGGATTATGTAGTTATTAAATATGTTTGTGCTGTCTTTACAATTAAGTACCACTTAAAGCTCTGTTCCTTTCTACACTCACTCAACAGGTATTAACTTAATAAAGGAATTGAGAAACAAATATTTTTAATAAAGCAGAAAATAGAAAAAGGTAAAACGGGTATTTTAACTGAGCACTGGTCAAGATTGCTTCTTGGCTAGGTTGCCCACCTCTGGCCCATTTACCCCAACCAGAGTAATCATACCATCCTGAATTAAACGGAGCTCTTTCAAGAAACTGCAAAACTAAAGGACATCCAGTTTATAGGCCATATAAAGCCTAAAGTGATGTGTTGTTTGAACACATATATTTACTTACTTACTAATTTAAAATCGTTTCATTTCATGAATAAACTTCACAGGGCAAATTAGAACAATGAACATATAAACAACTTTCTAACATAATGTGTAGTTTTCAGTGGGGTGAAAAAGCCTGGGACTGCAATATATAGAAGCATAAATAATGCTGTACACCCAGTAAAATAGGTGGAAGATTATATCCATAAAAGACAGATTACTCAGAAACTGGACCTACTAAGGCAATATATTTATCTGAATATTTCATGAGAAAAGTTTAATTTAAATGCTTCATAAAATGTGAAAATGAAAATTTGAAATATTTTTATAAGTGATTTTACATATGCATAGATAACCAGTGACTAAGTTGAAGAAGAAGAATCCTCCTCGCACAGTCTACCTTTCCACAGGCTGTAGACTTCCTGTCAGGGCCTGCAGCCGTCAGTGTAAACTTCATGTTTGCTCCACTGAGCCTCTATTCCACCTAATGATTCAGGTATTTGCTATACTCGCCTTCTTCCTGTCACCACTCATTTTTCTCCCTGGTTCTTCCTCTAATCTGCCTACTTCTGTTTCTGGTACAGTTTCTTGAGTATCTTCTAGAACCTTTCGTTGGCACTGTGATCTCTCCTTTCCAGCCCCAATAATGGCACCAATAATCAGACTTAAAAATACTATTAAAAGAAATAAGGCGAATGAGTACAGCATCCTGGAAAGGCCTTTGCTTTCATCTTCATTCTCACAACCCCTGCCAGAATTACTGCGAGAAACACTATGGCTTCTGCTTTCGTCTTCACTTGGATTTCCATCATGTGGCTTTCCAGGAGGGCCACTGTCCACGCTACCCCCATTGCCTGCAGCTTTGCAGTCAGGGGGTGCATAGCCAGCCTCACAATGACAGTGCCTTAAATTGTTGCAGACTCCTCTCCCATTACACATTTCATTAGGTTCACAGTCGTAGTGGAGCACGGCATGATCAGTGCAGGAGTAATTCATGCAGACTTTGTGTGGGGCACAAAGAGTGCCGTTGTGCACCTCTCCATCATCGGGGATGTCAGTCACGTTATAGGCATCCATGCTCCAGCACCAGTCATCTTTGTGAGGTACCTGGATCAGAGTATGGTGGGGTTTGATTGCTGGTATCCGTCTAATATTTGTACATATAAGTTTCCCACAAAATATATGATCATCAGAGCAATTAACATACTTTGTCCTAGACGAGGCCCACAAGCCACAGTTCCCGAACCGGTCTCCTTTGGTGTTCATGGAAATATAACAGTGTTCTGGGGCAGACCTTGCAGGGGACCCATATATATCCACACATTGATTATCGGGGTTCTTACACCGGCCGCCAAAACAATAGTGAATTCTGTCACACAATGTGCCATCTTGCTTATAGCGGTCTATGGGGCATTCTCCGGAGGTACCATCACAATATTCAGGGAGGTCACACTCTCCAAGAGCAGGACGACACATGAATCCCTTATGTCTCAACTGGCAATCAGAACAGCATAGTCCGTCACTACACTGTGCATGCTCCTTCAGCCTACATGTTTGGTCACAGCACCGGTGATCACCACAGTCAGGTCCGCAGTCACACTCCTCATTGTCCTCCAACACACCATTTCCACACTCTGCATTCCTACGCAGGCGATGTTGGGGCCGAGGCTTGTTAAATAGGCAACCCCCTCTGTGTTCCCGGAGGAACTGGTAGA